CTAGTGATGGCAAATGTACGATTACTAGATCTTCGAGAGATCCTTCTTGATACCCAGCTTGCTGCTCTGGATGGCCTCGTTCAGGATGCTGAGCACCATGTCCACGCGCTCCACGGTGGCGTTCTCGCCCATCAAGCCGATCCGGAAGACGTGCTCCACAGTGGGTCCCAAGCCGCCGCTAATCTCAACGCTGTACCTGATTATACGTATAAATGCAATTCAGTACAGATCTCCATTGACGAGATATAGACGTCTATACTCACTTGCGCATGGCGTACTCGGCCACCTTTTTCCAGTCGACTCCGAAGGGCACCTTAATCGTGTTCACCGTGGGCAGACGCTCGTCCTCCCGCGACACAAACATCTCCAGTCCCAGCTCCTCGATGCCCAACTGCAGCCGCTTGGAGCACTCCTGATGGCGTCGCACCACCGCCTTCAGGCCAACGGCGCAAAAGTGGGCCAGTGCCTCACGCAATCCGTACAGCAGGGTGGAGGATATGGTGTGGTGATAGATCCTGGGAGTGCCGTAGCAACCCCAGTACTGCCCAATCAGCAGGATGTCGAAGTAGTACACCTTCGGCTTGGTCTTCCTCTTTCGGATGCGCGTTAAGGCGCGCTTACTGAACGAAATGGGTGTAAGTCCGGCGGGACCGCCGAGCGATTTCTGTGAACCCGTGTACGCCACATCCACCTTCCACTCGTCCATGAGGAACTCCGTGCCGCCCAAGGAAGCCACAGTGTCCACAATGAGGAAACAATCGTACTTGCGGCACAGTTCACCCAGCTCACGGATATTCTGCTGGATGATCCCTGTCGAGGAGTCACCCTGGGCTATGAAGAACACCTTGGGGCGATGCGCCTCGAAGGCGAATGTGATCTCCTCGTGCGAGAGGGACCTGCCGAAACTCGCCTCCACATAGTGAACTTCGGCGCCATAACGGCGGGCCATATCCCCGGCACGATGACCCCAAACGCCCGTGATGCCCATGAGCACTACATCGCCATCCTCGATCAGATTGCACAGAGCGGCCTCCATTCCCGAGTGGCCGGCACCACTGATGCACATTGTGGCATCGTTGAGGGTCTGGAAGATGTACTTGATGCCCTCCTTCACCTCGTCCATGATCTGAGTATGTATACAGATATACAGAGATTAATATTCATGCGGAAGTATTATCCCATTCCCGTCGTGGGATCTCTAATATTATAATATTATAAAGTATAAGAGATGTGGATGTTGTGGTTCCAATCGCTGTGTAGCCCACAGATCTCTGACCCATCTCAGTAATTGTATCTCAATGTTTCACTTGGTCCCAGATAAGGTGCACATGTAGAGCACTGGTAGATCTGGTACAGTGCGGCCTATGAATATAAGGCTAGGCCCAAATACTCTTTACTTGCACTAGGCTTTCGATGCAATTAAGGTGTAAGATGTGTTAGGGTGCATCTTGTTGGCAGTTTGGTAGTATTTGTATTGTTATTATACCTGCAGACACTCGGGATGCATGTGACCCAGCACCGGATTGCTCATGGCCTCCAGGACGCGATGGGAGCAGTTGGAGGGTCCGGGCCCCATCAGCGTCTTGCTGGGCACATATAGCGGTCGCTTGAGGACAAGTGGCGGTGGTACCTCCATAGTCTTTGTTTTCTCTTTACGTAACCAGATCGCTGTGTGTTTATGGAGCTCCCTTATCGCCTAATCCTCTGTACCAGGTGCGGTGGGTGTTACTGTTTGTTGTGTTGTGGTGTGGTGTGTTGTGGTGATGGCGGTGGCTATGGCTTGTCTATCGGTGGCTGGCCAAGATCTGACTGAAACGCTTAGCGGGCTGCTGGCCACTTTATAGCTCCCCGGATCGCGGCTTATCGCCGGAATTTTGCCGATGAACGCACTTGAACAAGTGGTTAATGATGCGCTCTCCCGCTTATCAAGGCATCAAGATCGAGAGCAACTGCGTCGTTGGCGGCACAGAACGAAATTTGATATAAGAATAATAAACCTAGAGGCTGTTCTCTGAACGGATAGTATCAGTACCTTTAGATGCGCGAAACCGACCTCCAGTTGTTTTCAATTACAAAAACTCTAGCAATTTTAAAGACAATACGCTTGAAGATTATGTTTATTCATTATTGCCATATTTATTTCATTGTTAAGCCGTAGGCACTTCCGTTTATTTTCAGTGTGCTGCCGCTGATTCTTTGAGTGGCCTTCGGAAGGTTGGCGGACCAAAGCTTATTGTGAAATACATACGAATTCTGCGAATTCAGCAAGACGAACTTTGGAAGTGGGTGCGTATACGTAATATAGCCACATCTTTTCTGATGCTGGAAGAATCTGCAGAGAGCAGAGATCAAGAATCTATATAGAGCTAAGGTGTCGGATATTCTCTCAATCTAAATCTCAGCTCACTGATTATTGGATTGGTTGGTTGGGAAGTTAATAGCTTGATAACAGGCCTCCCCGTCAGTTTTCCCACCGGAGATTCGAAATGAAAAACACATCGTTGACGGCAATGTTGTGACCAGGAGGTCAACCGCCAATAGTACATACATATGTCGAATTAAATGCCCAAAAATATTTATTCCTTTTCGCTTGTGGTAAAATTGGAATCAAAGTAAATAACAAAACCATAGATCTTAAAAAGTGATAAATAGTCAAATTAGCAGGCCGTGACTTTGAAATAATATGTGATATTCGCTCACTATAGCTTTTAATTGTTCGTTGGAGTAATGATTTTAGTAATGATTATTTTAGGCACAGAAACATTCAAAATTATTTTTTCCAATGAAAAAGTAAGCCCAAAACTATTGTTAAAATTATAAAAATAAAAAATAGATGTATATAATCAAGTTGATTTTATGGCTTTGATTTAATTTTCTTTAATACTTCGATACCGAGACATTTAAAAAAAGTATTTCCGATAAAAAAGTAAGTCCAAAATTATTGTTGACTTATTGTTACTCATAAAAAAATTATGTTTATAAAAAAGTTGATTTTATGGTTTTTTATTTAATTTTCTTAATACGTTTCCATGTTTTGCTTAAATATTTTCATTAAATATTTGGCTACAATACTTCATTTTGTTAACTTTCCTCAAAGTTGATGAAGACGTGGAAACAAGTTTTTTTCGTTTTGGCACTTGGTCACACTGGCTGTTTGGTCAAAACAAACTGCACAATAATTAATGTATTTAAACACTTTTGATGCGACTACAAAAGTAGGCGAAATACTGTTGATATATGTATATAATTGATATATAGACAGCATGGAAATCGGCAGCGATCAGTCCTATCAGGACTTCTTTGACAAGCTGCGGAGGTGAGTCAGATTCTGGACGGGATTAGGATTTGATAGTAAATGTTACTACATTGACTCCAGTGAATCGGGTCCACGAAACTTGCGCCAGATCTTCGAGGACGACGATCGTCCGCTGGAGAACGAATCATCCAGCTTGCGTTATCAGCCAGGAAGCTCCAAGAAATCCCAGGCTGGCAAAAGGGCGGCAATGACCAGGAGTAGCACCCAGGAATCGGGTGATCCACCGCCGGCCGCCTGGAACACGGTCATTGCCAAGGTGGTGCATGCCTATAAGAGCAGCGAGAATCTGGGACGCGTTGGTCTGGCCCTCTCGATTCTGGGCGAAATGGAGGCCTCCAAGCTGATTGTGTACAGGAGCAAGAGCCAGGTGCTGACCACGCTGCAATTGACACCGCGTGGCGGCAAGGTGATTCTGCGCGAATCCTATTTGCAGTTCTACGATGACGAGCAGCGTTTCTGGAGCCTGCGATTTGACAAGGAACCGGATGAGCAGGAATTCGTAACATTTATGCTCAAAAACAAACTGCCAGTGGAACACTTTCTCAGCGAGGTTTCGTCCTCCAGCTCGGCATCGCCTTCCAGCGAGGACTTAACCAAGTCCCGGACTAAATCTACGGTCACAAAGGTGACGGCTAATCCTCCACAGCCGCAACCACGTTCCCGCGTGGCGCTTCCAACGCTGGCGAAGACGGATGACGAGGAACCCGAACAGGAAGCGACCCCTTCCAACGAGGATGTGATAGTCACGCCACTGCCCCGACCCATAGGCTCGTCAAATACTCACAGGAAACCCAGTTCCAGCTCCCTGGCGGTGGCCGCCTCTGAACCGAGCAGCGGTACTCCGTTGGCTGTGACAACATTGGACAAATATCTGGACGAACAGCGAGCCTCCGGTGTGATGATGGAGCACAAGATGGACGCCATCCTGCAGGCCATGAATCGCATGGGTGGCGGCAAGTCGAGTGTACCCCTGGAGAAGTCTAGTGATCCGCTGTTGGAACGCGACAGCGAGGATGAAATGTTGGAACTGGAGCAGAAGCTGCTCAACCTTAAGCGGGAGAATCGTGCCCTGATGCGCAATCTTAAAGCGCGCGACCAGGCGCTGGAGGATCTACGCTGCTCCGCGTGCGCTCTTTGCGAGGAACTACTTGTCCAGAATGGCGATTTCAAGGAGCAAAACGCCCAGCTGTTGGCCAGCAAGCATATTTCTGATTTAAACACAACCTCCCCTGCCGATTGTCGCAATTGCGAGCAGTCTTCCCGGCAAATAGCCAAAATGCAGCGACACATTTCCGCCCTGCAGGATGCACTGCGAATCTTTCAAAAGTCGGGCGACTCCAGTTCGGGTCGCTTATAGTACCTATCTAAGCGTACATATTCCGTATTACTATCCAGATATGTATTAAATCGTTTGTTAGGTCTTCTAACTTATCCATAAATACAAGCCAGACACTACCAGCTCTCTTTCAAAGACATGAGTCATTGTAATTGAGATTACCATGTATAGGGCTCATCTACAAAGCGATTTTCTAACTTTTACAACGATTCATGGAACAAAAAGTACCAGATAAGATGATATATTACTAAATGAGCGATATAAAAGGTTTTGCCTAGGCTAAACAATAGGGAGTATTGATAATAGCACCCCTATTTCTATTATGAAAACTCGGCAACGAGCGACTTTCTCTTGTACAAACTAATTTGTTGTATTTGCAGCACATCATGCTGAAACTTAAGGGCTAGGACAAGTCTAGAGTTTAGTGCTTGCGTATCGTAATCCGGGGAAGAGTTCATGGGGAAGTTTTGGGCCTGGAACTGGAGGCAGTCTCTGTGAAGTGGAAGAAAGGACGGGCTGGCGGTCCTACTCTTTTACGGCTAAAATGGAAATCGAGCTAGTTTACGGAGCGTGTGCTTTGGGAGGCAGCTGTGTATCCTGGTCCAGATCCAGATTCTCTTGCTGTTCTATCAAGATCCTTCTCAGTAGGTGCTGCTGTCGCTGAGGCTGCTCAGGTAGCTGCTGCCGGCGGTCGGAGCACCGGATCCGCCGGCGCGGTGTCGCTTCCGCTTCACCTTGGTCTTCTTGCGGCGCAGCATGGCCGTGTCCGTGGACTTGCGCTTGTACTTGCCCTGCCGCTTCTTCTTCCGTCCATACTCATCCGATTCACTGGTGCTGGACTCCTCGTTATCGCTGGAATCGGACTCGGACTCGGACGAATCGCCCGACGAGGTGGACTCATCACTCGAGTCGTCCGATGAGCTGCCGGTTGATGATGAGGAGGAGGAGGACGACGAATCCGAGCTGGAAGCGGTGGAGGAGCGTCGTCGCTTTGACTTCTTGCTTGTGCTGCCGCTGCTGGGTCGCTTGCCCGTTTTGGTTTTGGCCAGCTCGCTGCTGCTGTTGCTGCTGCTGGCGGTCTTTTTGTGCTTCCGGCTCTTCTTCGTTCCATGCTTCTTGTGGCGCACCGCCTTCTTGTCCTTGTCTCTGTCGGCCACCTTGTGGCTGCGCTTGGAGTTGCTACGCTTCTTGCTCTTGCTTCGGTTCCCCTTTTCGGTCTCCTGGTCTCTTTGTTTCTCCCTTTCACGCTTCTTCGCCTTGAGCCTGTCCCGGCTCTTGTCCTTGCTCCTGTCCCTCTTGGTGGCTGCCACTGGATGCGTTGCAGCTGGCGGCTTCACCTCAGCGCCGCCCTTCAGCTCCTGTGCTCTCAGTTCCGTGAGCGGCGTGAGGTAGTCCAGCTCCGAGTCCGAACTGGTGCTCTCCACATCCAGCAGGATCTCCTTGTTGGGGTCCACCTGCACGGAACGCCACATTAGCCATTGCGATGCACATGGTGTGTAAACAAGCACAATGCGCTCTTTGCACTTACCTTGAGAAAATTGCGGCATTGGTAGGTCAGGTGACCGGCGTAGCCGCATTTCTTGCAGGCTGCTCTCAGCGTATCCTTGTTGGCGCTCGCCAGTGGGAAGTTCATGGCCGCTGCGCTGCCGGTCGATCCTTTGCGGCGCGGTTGGCTGGGCGGTGGGCTTGTCCACTGATTATTTCGCTTCGCGCAGCATTAATTGATATATGCACAACAACAACAACAACAACAATGGAAAAATGAAACGCGAGTTGAAGTAAATCGCAATTTTAGTGAGACCATGCGCGCCCTTTTCAAACATACCACGCGGCTGCCCAGCCAAGTTTCACACCCCACAAACGATTTAGCTGGGACATGCACCGATAGACTAGTATTTTGCCCACGGGGGTGACACTGGCACGCAAATACCGCCACCTGATTGAAGTCTGGTCTCTCTGGCCGCCACCGCAGTTCAGTTGTTTACCAAATTTCAAGCTCTACGGTTGTTTCGCGCATGAAGGGCCGCGAAAAAAAACTTGGAGACGACTCGCGTACGTTAAACAGTTAATTATATCCAGCCAACTCGCGTAGATACCGGCGCTTATCGCCCAGCTGCAGTCCGTGATGCTAACTACGCAGTTTATTTTTTTTGCAAGTGCTTTTGAGTGCCGAAATTAAACCAATCCTGCGTAAGCGCCATCGCAATCGAGTCCAGTTCAATCGCCTGCCAAAGGACACAGTATTCGCCATGGCCCAAACAGAGGCCAAAACCACGTGCACGCGGCGTCGCCGCCAGTTTTTGCCCGATGGCCTATATCGGCAGCAGCGACAACAACATTGTTAACGGTTACCACTCAAATATATTGTGTGCTTCATAATACCGTTGTGTATTTTGAAACGGCTTGGATCGCGTACCGTTATTCGTGGATTGTGGCATTAACTGAACTGGTCGAGCGGCAGTGATTAGCCTTGTGATCCCGCCTATCGCATGTAGGGATAAAAACATTGGCAACAGTTGGAAATTCGTAAGCATTTGAAGGCCAAGCATCAGGTGAGTGTTTATTATTCATTGAATATTAACATTTTTAATTCAATTGGAAGTGGAGGAAAGTTACGCTCGAAACTGAACTAGGCACACCGCAAGCGTTGAAAACAAACAAATTGTAGTTCATTAAAAGCAAACTTAGCCGGGCCAAGGCTCGAGCCAACGATTCCATAGTTAATTTTCAGCAATATAAGTGTCGGCAGTTAATTCAGTCGAGTGTCACATTCCATCCGGTGTGACTGCTTTATTGTCGGCCAGTGTGACCAATGCACATTGCAATGCATTCATCGCCTGGGAGACCAAACCTCGTCGTATTAATTACAAACAAATTAAAATTTTTGCCTCGCCCGCTGCCCACGCCTTAATTAAAGACGCCAAAGAGTAACGGTAATAACCGACAACGGGAACGACGACCGTCGGGGGTTTACGTTATTCGTTATTCCTTATTGTTGTTTTTGTACTGCTGTGGATGCTGCCCGTTGTTGCACTTGTTGTTGCTGGCGTAATTGTGCCAGACATCGTCGCTCATTCTCACTAACGTTCAGACCGCACACTGAAAGAAAGGCTTATATGTGAATACATCTCATGGCTGCATTTCCGAATTTGATGAGTAGTGTGACCATGCCTGCTAAGGAGTAACTACTACTTAGTTAGAATTTAAATAGGACTCGGTTAATCTTTATAAATTGATAAAAGTACCAATATTGCATTGATTTTTTTTCCGAGTGGATTCCAAGCGTCACTCCGTTGGACCACCACCCCCTAAAATCACCCGCACACGCCACTCTGCGGACCGCCTCGCCCGCCCCGTGGCCACATTTTCTTCTGGGTCCTTGCCTTGCTTTTGTTGGCAGGAAAAAATAATAAATGCTAGGGGCTGAAAGGCTGGGGATCGGGCTCGGGCTCGGGCAGGCAGATGAAAAGTGTGTCGCTTTCGCCTGCGTGCGGTGACTGCAAAACTGTTGCCCAAAACAAATGACTAGAAACATGATTGTGCCCCACTCTGCCACGTCCGTCTTCCCCATCGCTGATTTATGCCAGCGGCAAAATTATGAAAAATTGTTGCAGCTAAATTTAAAAGAAATCTGAAAGTAAACACAACCGAGAAACGTACACCAAAGAGGCGAAAATAAATAAATTCGATAATTTATCCATAAATTCTGGACTCGCAGCATTTTCGGCGTCAACAGCGGCTATCGGCCTTGGCTACCGTGTCCTGGTATTGCTAGTGGTAGTGGTAGTAGAAGTGGCCGTGCCAGTACTAGTACACCCATTCCACCCATTTAGCTTCCCCCTGCTTTGTAGCAATTAACATGTGCAAATTTCTGGCCACATAAATTTGCGTAAACTGTTTGTTGCTTCCAGCGCCAAATCTCTGCGTCTGTCGGGAGGAGCCATAAATTTCTTGTCGCGATGAATGGGGAGTGTCCAGGAGCACAAGATCTACAGATATATGTAGATGGTAAATCCTTGGAGCCAAAGGCGAGATAAGGCCAGAAGATTGGCCTAGGAGATCAATCCTCAAAACGAATATTATTAGGGTTGAGATTATTATTTATCCAGCTAGACTGACCTTAAGTTGCTCGTGCCAAACGTAATCATAAATTTAAACGTTTTATTCGTAATATATTCAAAGATTTCCGATATCAATTTTAAGCCAAGGTCAAAGGCAGCTAATTTTAATGTGTCACAGCAGTGTGTCACATTAATGTGTCACAGACCATAGTTTTTAATGTATTTGAAGCAACATCATTTAAAGTACTCGTCCATAATAAATCATCACTAAGTTGAACATAAGTATTTTTACAATTGCATTCAGGCATCTGTGCCCACGACGAAATATTTTGGTTGTAAGATAAAGTAAAGTATTTGCAGCACTCACATCTGCATTCGCCACAAAACGAACTCAAAAGTACAAAATGGATAGGATGGGTGAATCAAACCAGATCAAGCTCCAAAAGATCAAAGTCGAGTAAAATGGAGTGTAATCCTCGCCATTGCCATTACTTGAGTGAATGACCCTCTGGCAGTTTGACATCGTTAATATTATATGGTTATATACTTATATATGTGTGCAATATCGTGTCATTCAGTGGCACTCAAAACTCTCAAGTTGCATTCAAAATTTAAGTGCGCATTTAAATACATGGCGGCGGTTTTTGCCTTGCCACCAAAACTTGGCGCCCTGAGTAGACCCAGATGGAGAGGGATAGATGGATGGATGGATGGATGGATAGATGGATGGATAGATGGATGGATGGATGGATGGTGTGTGTGGGTGTATGATAGAGGTAGAGAAAGAGGCAACGAGTTCAAAGGAAAGGGACGGCACTAGAGCAGCTGAGCGTGCACCGCAGAGTCAAAGAAGGAGCTCAAAGTGGCTTACGCTTGACTGATTTAATGCATGTCAAAATGTCAAAATATATGCATGCACAAAGAAAACCGTTACATGAATCCCTTTAACCTACCAGCCACACCCACACCCACGCCCCGCCTTCTCCCACCACCCCCATGTTTTCGGTCACAGATTCTCGGAAGTCCCTTTGCCATAGTCAAAACAATTATAAATGATAAATGTCAAACAGAGATGGACAGTGGCAAAAGGAGAGAGGTGACAGATGTTACACGGTTGGAAAATGTCTTTTTGCAAATCAGAATTTCAGTGATATATATACGATCAGTGTATACACCTACAATTTCTTATGAGCTACAAAAATATCTGCATGCTTGATGGTCACTCCACGTTACTCAATTTTAGGCAAGGTCTCGTATGAATGTATTTATGATTTATATACGAAACAATTGTTCTCCGTGTATAGCAGTGATAAGGGAACAAGGGTGAGGGGCTAAAGGAGCGAAACGAAAGGACAACGTGCAACATTTGCAAATATGCAAACGGCAAACAAACACACACATATTAAACCTAATTTGGCGCAGCTCATTAATAAAACACAAGCAGGCAAACAAACAAACATGCACATACACTGAAACCTAGGCAGAGAGCCATTAAAACTTTAAAGTGTTGTCGCTGTGAGAAAGCGGTAGAAAGTGGGTGATATCGGGAGTGTGGGGTTGGTGGCTGGCTGGCTGGCTGACATAATTTATGCAAAATATAAACCGAGCGACAGGCAAAAACAACTTATTAAAAAATACGTACAACAAACGAGCGACAGCTATAAATAACCTGGCCAAGTAAAAGCCATGAGAGAAAAAGGGGCGGCCGCCGAAATGTCGGGGGAGTGGCAATGGAGAACTTTTTCAAGTGGCTGCGAAACTGTAAACATTCTCCAACTGCCTTGCCACAACAATTTTCCCAGGACAACGGAGCATATGCACTGTGGCAGGAATCAGGGGAAAAACAACGGGGATCATACTCTTTTACACATTAAAAATTAAGTTCATGTGGGAAGGCAATGTACAAATGATGCAGCTCAAAGTTTTCATAGAACCTGATTGGTTACGTTAAGGTAATAAAGTAATTTGGGTTTCAATGACTTATCCAGCCTTTTTAATTCAAGTCACTGAAGTCGTTAAAAGTAGTTTGCTTTATATATTTTCTATATTAGCTTTATAAAACCATAACACAGCCTTAGAATTCCCAATATACAAAGACTGAATTATAAAGAACCTTTGTTTGTAATTATAAAAGGGCAAGATGGAGTTTTTTTTTCGAAAGTGTTATGTAAAAACTAAACACTAAAAGGGTGAACTTTTAATGGTTACCGTGTGTTTGCCTTACAGTAAAATTCATTTTTTTTATACGGATCATATATAAAGACCATTAAAAAAATGCAGGAAAACTTCTTTGTTGTTTACCTTCATCAATTGGCTTTTGTGTGCACTTTTGTTTTCGAAACCCCTAGAGAATATAATCCAAATTATAAGCCCCAGATGTGTGTCGGAAAGTTTGAGTTGTTTTTCGGGGCACGGGTACATTATGATTATGCCCCACGACCATACCAAATCCTCACGAGTCTCGTCCTTGAAGGACATTCAGGTTTCGGCTTAGCCTGGCCAATCGTCTTTCCCTTCGTGTTTACTTGTGTTTTACGGCTGTCGCCGCCTGCGGCTCGTCCAAACAATTTTCAGTTTCATTTTCGTTTAGTGTCAAGTGGCAGCAAGAACAGCAACAACTAATGGTAATAGCCCTGCACACGACAAGCGACTAAAACTGCTGGAAATAATATCGGGCAACAAACAGTTGTCAGGCCCAGCTGCTTGTTAAGGCGACTCTTTGCCCCAGCCGCTGCTGCCTTTTTCCTCTTTCCCCCAGCTAAACCAGCTAAAAGCGAAGAAAAGCGGGCCAAGAAGTGCCAAATGGTGGATGGGGAGGTTCCTAAGTGGATGGCAGATAGCCTGATCTGGGTCTTGTCTCTGGATTATCTTCCCGCTTAACCCCATGCACCCCAAAAACACTGCACGAAAATGGCAAAAAAAGAAGAGCAGAAACATTAAGACGAAACCCAGAATTAAATCCCTTGACGCAAATACTCTTTTTAATTATCCCCATAAATAGGTGAGCCATTTATTGAAATGCCAAATGGGCGCTGGCTTCCCAGCGAATACCCACTTCATAATTATGAATGCGAATTAAACGTGAATTTATAGACGAAAAGACACAAATATTGGCCAGTATAAACGGCAAACGAAATGTGACAATGCTACTTGTTGATTAATGGCAAATAATAGTGCATTTTAAAGTATTTGACACTAAAAACTTGTACGACGTACGTTGATACCGAAGACTTTGCCCTGATCTCAGGCTTCGATGCTATATAATAATCATGGGCCAATATAAAAATCATTAAAAATATATTAAGAGAGCTCTGTTCTTTTCTAGCAGTGTGGGTCACTATTTGCTTCAACCAATATTGCTGGCTGCGGGCTAGAAAACTTGGTTGTTTCAGTTTGATTCCGATTGTTGGTGTTGTGTGCCGGACTGGAACTAGTTTGCTTAGCTAAGCTAAGCTAAGCACTTCCTCTTCCCGGGCTGATTTATATACACA